CGGCTGCATGAGTTTTAAAATATCGGATATCGGCCAAAATCCCAATATCGTGCATCCCTAATTTTTTTAATTTTTGTTTCAGAATATAAAAAATTCTGCCTTCCATAGACGGCTCGCTCACACACGGTGTTATATTACCTCCAGATCAATAGTTTCCCCGACAGGCAGCGTTTAAAAATATCTCCCATTAAACAGATATATTACAGAAATCAATCCGCTACAATCCCTTAGCAGAGGAAAGCGCAACGGAAATAGCAGTTAGAATCTGTTGAGTCTATCTCTATAATCAATGCTTTCTGTAGCACATCAGGATGATATGTTATGTTCTGGTTCATGCTAATGAAATAAAAGCAGGGGTCAGACGTTCCAAAGTTGGCGCCGTTTGAGGATCAATTAAGGCGTTTTTGAAGAAGGTGATTTTGTCGTCTTTGTGGCTGTGAACCTGTTGATGTTTATCCTTTTTTTTTATCACCTCAGGGCGCGTCGCTGTGAAGCTGCAAGCTAATGCTTCTCTCGTTCCCTTTTGTAGTTTTCGTTTTGTTTGGGATTCAAGAACCGAGACTAAAATCTAGAACATTTGCTAATTTTCTTTTTATTGTTCCTGCTTTATGAGCGAGTTTCAGTTTCGGATTTATTCCTCGGTCTCTTCCTTTGAGAGGGAGGTGATATTTTCACCCGCAGACGATGAATTCATGGGTTTTTCTCTTCATGTGTTTAAATAGAAATGTATGACAGAATACAGGAGTAACCCGCGTGAACCCGCCCCCACCCCCTCCGTTCACTCAGGACGTTAAACTCAGGCCTGGAGCCTGCGTCTGCAGAATCCCTAGACTGGTTCTAGTAAAGAATAAAACGTTTTAAGTTGAGATTAAGGAATATTTTGGAACAACATTAAGCTTTATTATGAGGCACAGAAACATGAAGCTTAATATATAACTCCTACTGTTCTATAATTGCATTGTACATAAAGAAAAATACGTAATTATTGATGCGCTCCATTAGATAAGCTTTTATATTTGAAATGTTTATTTTGCTTCTTTAATATCTAGTTGATAAGCGTTTTGAAATAGCACTTTAGACTGTGTTTGTTAGCATCAGTTAGCTTTTTGGGCATTGGTGAGCAAAAATAAATGTTTGTAGAAAAGATATTTGACTTAGTCAATTGTATTCAAGAAAAAAAAAATGCATTATAACTACTTGTTTTGAAATAAAACATTCGTCTACAGGTTTAGGTTTTTGGTGAAAACATTGTTTTCCTTCCCAGAACAAACGGGTTTTATAAATGCTGTGATGTTTGCACTGTTTTATTTTAAAATATATATATTTCAGTTGATCTATTTGTGTATCTTTATCTAGATGTTTATATGAAATGTTAATAATAAAAAAAACATTTGGTTAAAGAAGAACTTGTTGTGTTTGGATCCCACTCTTCTTATTTCCTGTTTCTTTCAGGTTAGAAAAAGCTGATTGGTTCAAATTCCTGTTTATTATCTTTAACGGAAAAATCTACAAGCGGAATGAGGACAATTCAGCAAAACTAACAAAAAATATTTCATTAGGTTAAAACCTAAATGTGATTAGCCAAACTAAATATAGTGAATTCTGTTGTTTGACGCGTTTAAAACCCATTTTTGGGTCAAAAATAGTAATATTCTCTCTGCAAATGCATTTCATGAAGAACAAACTGAATGTGAATTAAACCAGAAAGAACAGTAATGGAAGGAAAGCTACATGCCATCATCTCAATTTATCTGAGTTTTACACAAAAAAACATATAACAGTAACAGTAGTCACTATTTCTGATAAGTTTTCATGATATAAAATGGAACATTTTGCTTTGCAAAAATACATCTTATATAAAAAATTTAAGAAAACTGACAGGTATTTTAGAATTTTTTTCCTTATTTTTTCGGCCATTCCTTAAAATCCTTGAGTTTTTTTTTTTTTTTCTAATAATTGTAAGCTGATCACTGCAAAAACGATCTAGAAATAAGTAAACATTTCTTAAATAAGCGTATTTACCCTTAATTTTAGTAGGTAAATGAGATAATTTGATAAGGAATGAGTATTTTTACACTTAAAATAAGATAATTAGATAATATGCACTTGAAATAAGACAATGCTATTGTGTTTTTCTTATTTTAAATATACATTTTCTTGTTCCATTGGCAAAATGTCTATTGTACCACCTCAATACAAGAACAAATGACTTATCTAGATTTCAATTTTTTCCAGTGATAAATTCAGTTCACAGATTGTGTATCACTGCTGGATCTAATTCCTAGTTGATATTTCATGATTCATTTAGTGCTGAATTTCTTTTTAAAGAAAAAAATGTTCCGAGATACAAGTCTAGCCCTTTCATGACTCATTAGTGGTTTATGTGATAAACCCGCAAAGTAGCACCACCGTACTGAATAAAAGAAAAGATATGATGAATAATCTGAAAGGTAATCTAAAAATCAACCCTTTTTACTAATTATAATCCAGCATAACCAGCAGTTTTTGTGAAGCTGCTCTAATTAAGTAAAGGCAAAACTATTCCAAACTTTATTGATTATGAAAAAAGGGCCAATTAATTAATTTGATTTTAAGTTTCAGCAACAAAGAAAGATTTTCAATTGTTTAAAATTGGAATTTAAATGATATTAAAATTAGCAGGTTGACTTTGTAAAGCGTGAAGTATAATTTAATTCTATTCAGTTTATTTCTATAGCTCCAATTCACATCATGTCATCTCAGGTCACTTTCCAGTTCAACCAGATCATCCAGTCAGAT